TTTATGGAACAAACAGGTTGGCAACAAACAGGAGCATACATAGATGAGCATGGCGTTTAGTATATTTGGGGTATTATTGCAATCTTAGACTATCTATAAATTCATTTTATCAATCTTTCATATCTCCTCCGAGCAATGGTACTTCTTTAGTCGTACACCGAGGCCTTGGACCATTTCGATCTCGCCCTGATTCTCTTGCCATAGATATAAAACACAAATGGAACAGGAATCAACAACGCTGCAAAGCCACCGGTGATACTAGACCCAGGGCCAACACCGATATTATGATACAGCGGTCCAACCACTAGCGGAAAAGCAGCTGCGAAACAGGATCGAAGAAACGTGTTGGCCGCGACAGCTGAAGCGGCGTACATAGTAAACGTATCAACGAGGTAGTTCAGCGCAGCTTGAAAAATGGTAAAGAAGCCTGTTCCCAACAAGACAAGGCCAATGCATGGAACGACCCAGTGAATATCTTTCTGAGCAGTCCATCCGATGAGGAATTGACCGCCGCTGAAAATCACGGAGCCAACCATCATAGGAGGGAGACGTTTCTCGGGGACAGCGCGGTTGCCAGCGGCGTGGTAGGCTTTGTTGTAGAGGAGCTGGTTGTACACATTTGCTCCGGCACCAAGAATGGCTCCGAGGAGAATGCAGATGAAGGGTAGTGAGGAGACTAGAATACCCCAACCTCTGATCTCTCTGAAGATGATGGGAATAGCGCCAAGCTGCATGTAGAGAATACCATAGCAGAAACTGGCGTACAGCGCAACGAGGAAGCAAATAGGCGTCATGAGGAGCTGAACAGGTCTGACCAAGAACTTTCGTGCGAGTTCAGTGATGCTAACATCCCATTCCTCAAATTTCGCATGTAGCGCCCAATTGCCTGTTTCATGACGCAGTCTCCTCGCCTTGTAGATGAGTAGTTTCGGCGGGTAACTCTCATCAACAAAAATAACAGCCAGCGTCAAAAATATGATCTGAACAATGCCAGTGAGATACTCAGTCCACCTCCAGCCAAGACTCGGGTCCTGCACAACAGCAGCTGAAACGATAGGACCTAAGACAAAAGCGTCAGCCAAGACAAACCTCACAAACTATAAAAGTCAGACTTACCGAGAACAGGACCTCCAACAACGGCCATGGCATACCCCGCCATAGCAATTCCCCTCTCCGACGGCAGAAACAAATCGCCTAGAACACCGCCTGTATTCGTCACAGGCGCTGAAGCGAAGAACGCACAGAAGAATCGTGTGATCATCAGCGTCTGAAAGTCTTTCGCGACTGCACTTCCGAAACTGAAGCATATCGCGATAAACATGGGAATAAGCACCGCTTGTCGTCGTCCGTAGACTTCACTCAACGGCGCCCAAAGCAAAGGCCCAATCCCAAACCCAACAAGAAATAGCGTTGTGCCAAGAGTTGCGGTCTGGGTGCCGACGTGGAAGTGCTTGGCTACTTGCGCCGTACCAGACGAATACGACGAAGACGCCCACGTCGCTGACATGGTAACCAACCCGTACAGCATCGTGGTCAGGATCTTCTTCTTGTTAGGCCAGTTCATCGGTCTGTACGGATCATCAGGTCCGTCGAAGTCAACGAGCTGATCCTCTGTGGTTTTGACGTGCGCGAGAGGATGAGTAAACACCGGGATAGGCCGTGATCGAATCCTCGATAAGACAGATTCTCGCCGCGACACAGTTCGCGTCATGCTTACTCCTGTGTTGGGCGCGCGAATGCTCTGCCATTCTGTGTCGCCGAGGGAGTATGTTCGAGAAATGTCGTCATTTTGATGGTTGTGGTGTGAAGACGATATGGATGATTCTTCATCGCTATGTGAAGAAGTATGAGATTCTCGGCGATCGTTGGGATCTGAATGTGCAGTTTCGACTTTCTCCATGGTTAATCCACAATTTAATTGAACTAAACTTGATCAAAAAGAGAGAAGATCACAAGTGGAATGTCGTGTATATTTATCAGAAATGATCGGGGCCAGATTCGGCGACTAGTCTCTAACACCGAGCCATGCTAAAACTCAATTTCTCCTTACAAAAATTCATCGGTGGGGACGGTCAACGAGTGGCCGTTGCAGTTACGTCATTACTATCGAGTTATGTGGCGACTTTGCCCGCTGTTCCTGATATGGGTAGCCGTTAGTGGATAAGTTGGCGTAGTGATGATTTCCGGGAATAATCTGTGAATAACCTCATCGGCACGGGAATGCCGATCGCGGCCCGAAAGTAAGCAGAAGTTCCTCAGGGTTGTTTGTGAAGACGCGAAGACGCGATGGTATCTCCGAGCCGAGATGATGATCTCGCGAGATAATTATAATTGCTTATTGTAGTACGGAGAGCTTTCGGGGATTACTGAATGGAATGCACGAACGCTTGGGAGTCGGGACCGATGAATAGGCTTTGGAAAGTTTAGTAGATCTTATGAAGTGTTTAGACTAGTTTATCATGGCACCCTGATGTTACATCAGAAGAATTTCTTGCTTGCTAAAGCTACTCTAATATCTTCAAAGCCGAGACTTGTCAGACTCGCCCTTGGCTGGCTTCCATTCAAAATGATGCTTTCCCTTGCTTGTTTCACCCCGATGTTCCTCCTTGAGATCAAACTTATGATTGCCAAAGTAATCCAGCTCCGCTTCCGTCAACTGAGTGGGCAGATCTACGGATGTGGAATACTTATAGTACTCTAAACTTTGGCTCATTGCTGGGATTACCATGTCAGCATCCAACGCTGTTAGGATGCATCGCTTCATTGACGGCAGAAGGCCGGTTAGTTGCTTTTCGAGTTGACTGTTGGATAAGAGGTTGTTCTTGCTGGTAGATTCGCTGTAGACTTTGTGAAGAAGATCCATGATACCCCCGGCTTGAATGATTGACCCGGCGCTCCAGACGTGTAGGAGGTCTTGGTAGTTGATATGCCACTCGCGTTGCTGATCCATTTCGCGAATAATCTGCAGACCCTGCGTGAAGCACAGCAATAGACTGAAGTATGTCGCCTTTCGGAGATCTTCGATGAACTCATCCCTCGAGGAGACTTCCATCGCTGAGGGCTGCCAACGTCCTGAAGCCTCAGCATTAGCAGCGCGCTGGCTCAGTTCAGCCGATGTACATCTGAACAAATGCGCACTGACGATGTTCGCAGCAGGGACGTGAAGTCTCACCGCCTCTTCACAAGACCACGTCCCCGTGCCTTCAGTATTATCAATGTCCTGCACAACCTTATCCTGAATTCTTCCCAGAACATATCGCCCCTTCTCATCTTTCGTCCTGTTGATATCAACAGCGATGTAGATCAGGAAAGTATTGTAAAGTTCCGGTGTTCCATTCCACTTCTCAAAAACACCAGCTGCTGCCTCATAGCTGAGCTGAAGACCCTTGGTAAGGATGTACCAAACTTCGGAAATAACTGACATCATGCCTTGTTCGATTCCATTGTGGATCATCTTGACATAATGTCCTGAACCGCCTGGCCCAATTGGGCTGGTGCATGGCTTTCCATCGCGATCTTTTGCCGCGACTCTTCTGAGAAGCGGCATGATAATTTCGAGGGCTTGGGGGTCGCCGCCTGGTGACATTGACGGACCGGCTCGTGCGCTCTGATAACCGCCTGAGACGCCACAACCGACATAAAAAATGCCATCTTTTGCAAGATCCGCTTGTCGTCGTTCCGTGTTGCCGTAGAACTCGTTTGAACAGTCAAGAATGATATCTCCCTTGGTCATGTACGGTCGAAGAGCCTTGACACATTCGTCGCCGGGATTTCCGTGGGGAATACTAAATATGATAATCCGTGGATGGTTCTTGGAGTAGATTTCTTCGCAGAGTTGTTGATAGCTGTGTTGGCGAAAGACTCGGGTTTCCTCGTTGACGTCCTTGACCATCTTTTCTGCTGCTTTCATATTGTATTCGCCTTAGGTTTATCAGCGACTGTCAGCTACGGTGAGGTATGTTCACATACTGATGTCGAAGTAGTAGACTTTGCAACCTTTCTCGGCAAAGAGGAGGGACATCATGGAGCCCATGCTGCCCATTCCTACCATACCTATCTGCTCATTACAGCGATTAGTAAAGAGTCAATAGTGCACTGTATCTTGAACTCACTTTTGCTATCTGTCTTTCTGACATGATGAACTGTTGTGGCGGATTTTGCGCTCGTTGTAATAGATACAAAGCTCGTTGAAGGCCAAGGAAGGGTTTACTCTCACGTCACGATGTAAACAAGAGAGCTTCCGAAATACGGCTGTAAATATAATTTCTTTTTAGCTTATTTAATAGTAGCATGTCGTCACCAGGATTTATCTCTGTGAGGACGCTTGGCGATAATCAAGGGTTGTGTCAACTTGACGTCAGAGTGAAGACTGAATGTCATCGGATTGCTGTGCTAACTCCCCTGACACCTTTTATGGGGTTTCCGCCACAAGCCTTAGGGAGCAAGAGAATATTAAACCTTGATATAGGGTATTAAAATAAACTCCGCAAAAGGTATCCTAAAATTATGCTAAGTTACCTAAGTCTTTTTGTCACTTAGTATCAAGGTCTTGAGTTTTCTTTCTTCCCTAGACTACAGAAGGTCTATTATAATTGCCATTTCACCTATTGCTGGGCCTAGTTTTATGGAGGGCAGACTCGGTTGGTGCAAGCTTTTGGGTAGACGCTTATGTCGTGGGAAAATGAAACTCATTTACCGAGTGCCCATTTTAACAGACAGGCCAGAAAGTATTTATATAGCTGCTCTGTATTTTTGTTCCTGAAATCCGCGGAATTACCCACCTGATTGCGCCATAAGGTTAAACTTTAGGCTGCAAATGAATGCGATCATGACACGATGAACCTACACAAAGTACATACGCATTTCCCCATTTTGAGAGCTTATCTGCCTGACTACCCAACTATAAGAAGCCGTCCTCCCTCCGCCCGGCGCGTTCTGTATTTCCTTCTGACACGCTTAAGCTCGAACTCTAAAATTTCATCCCACGCCCTGCGTCAACAATGGATCCATTCTCGAAACTCCCATCGCTTGTTCAGACGGAGATTCTTTTTCATCTCCAGTCTGATGCAAGTGTCAAGAAGGTAATTCAAGCCTCGCCCTCTATGCTATGGCATTTCGTCACTTACAAGAAAAGTGCCATCCGCTATATCCTGAACGGCATCGTTCCTTTTCGCACTTCTGGCGATATACTTAGTGATGCTCTGATAATTATCGATATTTCAGATCAAGCGTCGGCCAAAAGATACAAAGAAACAAAATTCTGGCAAAGCAGGAAGCTGCCGAAGGACTTCACCGTTGAGCAGCTTCAGATCCTCTGGCGCTTTTTTACCCGAATAGTCCTCTTCATTGAAGACTATACCTCAAAAGCAACAAGCGTCTATCCTCCCAGAGCTTACCTTGGCATCCCAGATGTGGTGGACGGCAGCGGAAGCTACTTTAAAGAGCAGAGACTAGAAACCGAGGTCGTCAAGTTCGCAGCCCTAACAAATGCTGAGCGGCATAGGTTCCTATCTGCCTTTACAAGATATGAGCTGCTTTGCAAGATCTTTCATCTGTGGGATACAGATTACGAAGAACAATTGGCGACAAGAAGACGACTGGCTGCAATGTGCCGAGACTCTGATTGTAGGATACTACTGTCCGTTCATGAATACTATACAGCTCTCTACGGAGCTTTGTTCGCGCATGGTGCGAATGCTTGGTTACCGGATATACCCGAGCTGTCCAGGACAGGGCCGTCGGCTGGGCATTTTGTCCCCTCTGATTACGGATTACTATTCCCTGACAATACGTACCTCGATGCTAGAGAGTATGAGAAAGACATGGATACAAACGGACTTCATTTGGCCCGATCGTTGCCCTCTTGCGGTCTAGATTGCTCAATGCAAATACTGGTTTGTGTAAGAAAGGAGTCATGGCACGACTCCATTCTTAGAACCTGGCTACGGACGTTACCTTATTCGCAGTCGATTTCATGGACCAAACTTCTCCCCGATAGCCTCACTGAGACGGAATTTCACTGCTACAGTCAAACGCGGGTAGATCAGCAAGGCCGCAGCGCCATCAATTGGGGCAGAGTCACGACATTCACGCTTGGGAATCAACGCCACGAGAAGTTGAAAGCGATCCAACTTGCCACTTACCGGCAACGAGCTTGGGGTCTATTTGATAACGACAGGCTGTATGCGAAGCATACCAACCATTTCCCAAATTTTGATGATCTTGATCGAATGCGCAGGGAATTTTCGGAGGACCGGTTTCGTGCGCCTATGCTAGAGCGCAAGCATAGGAGGTCCCAGAAATGGCAGAATTTTGAGGAGGTCTTGTATACCCCGCGTACACCATACAGTCATAAGGAAGCTATTGCTGATAGAGACACTATTGTTGGGCATTTGGGGCCTAGCGTTAGATTTTTTGGTGCCCCTAATCAGAAGCTGCCTAATAACATTAGGGAAGATTGGCGACAGGTTGCTTATTGAGAAGAGGTAGGAGAATACAATATTGTATAAAGGTAGGATAATTTACCTAATGTTTGTTTAAAATTTTCCAAGCCTCGGATGATATTTGTAACATTCATCATAAGTATACAACACTAACTGCAACCCATTCCCTAGCACGCATAGCGTTTAACATCATTATAACACAAACACACGGTGAGGCCGTAGGCGACTTGGTAAACTTTATATACATATAGATTATTTAAGAATTAAATACTGGTTTGAACTAATCGCTGTGTTGGTACAGCGGTGCTTCTACTACATGGTTGTAACGGTCACGCTACATGCAGGCAGCTAGCTTCTCGAAGTGCCCTAAGAACTTTTCGCCGCCTTGATAATCACATCGCTAGCCTTCTCGGCAACAATATACAAAGGAAGTGCGATATAGAAACCAGGAATCTTGGGGAAAACACTAGCATCAACAACGCGCAGACCCTCGGTACCCCGAACCTTGAACTCAGAGTCCAGTACAGCCATGGGATCGTCGTCAGCACCGATAGCAGCAGTGCATGAAGCATGGTGACCCCATGCCTCATCCTTGAGGAACTGTTTCGCCTTCTTCTCATTGTTCGTCTGGCTTCCGGGCCAAACTTCAGGGAACTCGCCGTCAAGAGGGATCAAGTCGTCAAAGGCCTTGCGGGCAAACTCGAAGCCTTCGTATGTGGCTTGGAGATCCTTGTCGCCTTCTCCGTTGGCGTTGATGCCAGTGTCAAAGTAGTTGAAGTTGATGATGGGCATGTCACGAGGGTCAGTTGACTTGAGAGTGACAGTACCAGCGTTGTTGCGGCTGTGAGCCTTGAGGATGATCCAAGCCCAGTGCTCGGCGTCGGCGAGTGAGTCAGCGGCATAGCCGGGGAAGTAGCCCTTGAACTTGGCTGGGGCACCAGAGATGAGAAGATCGGGCTCGTCTTCGGCGACCGAAGACTTGAGGATAATAGCGATAGCAATACCGTTGGTTCCATACACACCCTTTGTGATAGGACCAAGACCCTTCTTGTACTGCTCCAAGCAAGGGTCTGGCAGAGTCTCAAGGAAAGTACACTTCGATGTGATAACAAAGTCACTATCAGTCTTACCAATAACAGTGTTCTCATATCGATCCTGCATGTTGGTTCCAACACCAGGAAGATCGACCAGGACAGGAATCTTGAAAGAGTCAAGCTCCTTCTTGGGACCGATGCCACTGAGCTTCAGGAGTTGAGGAGTGTTGAAGGAGCCAGCAGAGATGATGACTTCGCGCTTGGCCTTGACGCTGCCGGTACCAGTGGGCTTGGCTGAGCCGGAGCGAGGATCGGCGCGGTAGAGGCTTGCGCCTTGCATGTAGTTGACGCCGACGGCACGAGGCTTGGAGCCGCTCTTGTCGAAGTTGATCTTGGTGACCTGCGAATATGTGAGTACTGAGGCGGTATACGTATTTGGTGACTTACAAGAGTATTGAGCTTGATATCAAGATGGTACTTGCGGGATCCATCTTTGTTGACAGCCTTGGCAGTGTTGAGGATAAAGTCTCGGGGACCACCACGAACGTTGTCAGTCATCGACAGAGGAACCTGGTAGAGACCGGTCTTGCTGGTTTGGCCTGGTGCATTGAGATCACGAAGCAAGACTTGGCCAAGGCCTGCGACAGTGCTCAGGACGAAGCCCAGAAGGCCCTTACCCATTGCCGAAGCAGCAGAGATGATCAGGGACAGAAGCTTCTGATCCTCAACTACCAGGGACAGTGAGGTCAGAGATGTGCCCAACCAGCCACTGAAGCCGTGGCCGATAATACTGCTAGGGAGATACATGTTCTTCTCTATCTTCTCGAAGTAAGAGCGCATGTTGTCAGGGTTCCAAGAGTCATCACCCGTAAGACTGGCAATGTAAGACCAGTCACTGTCATGAGCAGCGATAGTGATGAGGGCATTGTGACGGGTGCATCCACCGAGAGTACCAGCACGAGGATAAAGAACACCCAAAGGCTTTGCATCTTTAGGCGGGGTGAGTCCAACATAGTAGCTACCATCGGCCTTCTGGTAAACCATCTTGGAGTCCTTCTTCTGTTGCTTGGCATCAGGGTAGTGATTGACGAAGTAGTTCCACCGTGTGTCCTCGAACTCAGTCGACATGAGATGTAAGGCGGGAAGCTTCTCAACCCAGTCATCGCCAGAGTCACCGCCGGCATCAATGAGAAGGACTTTGAAGCCAGCGACGGCGAGGTTGGCGGCGACAGGGCCACCACCTGCCCCAGAACCGACGACTACATAGTCGTATTCAACGGTGGTATCGCGCTTGCCGATGAAAGGATTATGCTCCTTGGAGGAAGAACTCCATGGAACAGAACTGTCAATACTGATGTTAGTATGGATATGATGCAGTAATAGAGAGACTGGGGGACATACAAAGCAGAGGCTGAATCAGCCAGAACAGAAATGCACGTAATAACGAACGACAAACGCATATTGGCTACTCAGCGCCAAGCACTTAGAAAACCCAAAAGTGTGAATAGAATGAATGGACGGCTTTCTAGAGCATGAAGCCAGAATTCCAAATGCCGTGCCGTGCCAGGTAGATAATAAAGAGGAGAAATTAGGACCATGCCTCCCAAAATACTACCAAACCCCGCCTGTAAAAACGATCGCCAGGAGGTATTCCAGGAACAGAAGCACGCATTCAGCCTCTCACACCCGGATGGAAACGTCGGTATGAAAGCGGAACGTGGGAGTCTGATCGATTCCGCTTATCAAGAACGGGCGAAGGATTCAGTGCGCACCGATGGAGCAGATTGACGGAATCCTTCTGATGCCCGAGAAAAAAAAGAAACGAAAGACACACGAAGTAACTCGAGGCGGAGACCTTGGGGTTCGTGGCCCCTGGACTAATGAATTAACAAGGCGCAAGGTTGTACTCGCGCGTTACAGTCGTAATCGCGGTGGAGTTGGGCAGAAGGGGAAAAGGGAACTTGAAATGCCGTTGTATCTAGTTAGTGACAGGGCAGCGTGGTCAGTGTAGCATCGGCCAGGATGCGGAGATTCCACCTGTCATCTTGACAAGTGAAACAATGACTTGAAGTGGGTGATACAGGACGGTATACCTAAGTGAAATGAGAGGGTGCCAAAAATAACAGACTTCAGGTACGGATAACACAATTCCATAGACTTTAGGGATCTGCCCGAGCCGCGAATGGCGATATTCGCAGTCTAGAACATTTAATATCGCCACTTCATTACAGCAGGGCTGACCGTTGAGCTAGACTACGGGGATCAGGCATGCTTGTCCCGTCTGTGCGACGGTGTCAGTTGGTGAAACATTTCCCCGGACGATCGTAGCTATAAACGTGCAAGCCTCAACAATAACCTCTGGCCCAAGAACCCTTTTGGTTTAGACATAGTCACTAGTGCATAACATAATCAACGACAAAGAAATCTCAATTCTTGTATGTAAACAGCAATGAGTGAGTCAGGGAGACACTAAGTAACTAAACTTTTCCAGGTCACATCAAATGACACGATGATCGACACAAATCATACAGGCTCAGACGGAACAGCCGGCCTCCTCTCCGTCCACGCAGTCTCCTCGTGGCCCTGCTGCTCCCTCCCCATCTGCGTAAGTTCAATTACCGAAGAATCATCGTGGTGGCGCGAGTACCTGGTCGAGATCTCCGTCTCAATGGTGATCTGCGGCGTATTGCCGCCCTTCCTGTCACCGGTTGGTTGCTTCGACTCCTTGGAGATGTTGGCGTAGCTGTTCTTGCTGCGGTTCGTCGAGGCGAAGACCTTGGGGAAGATGATGCCGAACAGCGCGCGGATGGCGGGCATGCAGGCGCAGATTATGCCCACGGGCACTTCGATTGTGCTCCAGTATCCGATTTCAACGTAGTCCTCTGTATGCTGTTAGAGCGGAATGTGGGAGGGGGGTTGGGGAGATTTACGGGTTACGTTGCTGGTTGTTGCGTAGCTTGCTAGAGATTGAAGGCGGACTGCACTGACAATCGTGACGCTGATTTTGTTAGCGAGACAAATGGCGTTGAGGAGGAAATCTTACAAGATGCCGACGCTGAACATGAGCATGAGCTGTATCTTCTTCTTCAGCGACATCGACAGCCCATAAAGCTCCTTCAGCGGTATGACCATCGTTCCAACATCAAGAATAATGTTCAAGATCGCCGCAAACCAACCCTGTAGATTGATGTTGTTGCACTTAGCCTTGAACTCCTTGTCCCATGCTCTCCAAGCGCCCTCAATTGGTCTGCACTGGAAGATGGAAATGAGCTCAAACGTGATGAAGTATGCAACGTTCAGACCGATAAAAATCCAGCATGCCATTCGAATTCTTTTACCGGGAAAGACTTTGAGATAGAAGAGAAGAATGGAGATCTTGGTGACGGGCAACGCTCCGAGATACAGAAGTTCATCCCAGTAGAATAGCTGGTATGTGTCAGTCAGGTGAATGTGTCAGAGGGAGATGGACTCACGTAAAGAAAATCGGTGATATCATCGGGATGAACGTTCCATATGTCTTTACCAAGTCCCACGCGCGATACTGCCATCTGTTAACAGCGAATTGAGAGAATCGACAAATTTGGACTTACTCTGCACAGACAAAGCATTGAGAGGTATCATGAGAGCCTATACAATCGTGAGCGCTGGAGTAGAAGAGGCAAGCGGTGATACATACCACCGCAAAAAGCATGACCCAATCGTCGGATCCCCATGTTTGCTTCACAACAAACACTCTGGCCATGACACGCAGACCAAAGCCTATGAGGCCGAGAATTAGGAAGACGATACCGATGACCCATACCAGTGTTGTGCGATCGCGAGATGGCGCTTTGCAAGTATGCTTGGAGTAACTCTGAACCACTAACCACTCAATCAGTAGCCGCCCGGGACAGCTGGGGAACAAACTTACACAAGCTCTCCCGCACCGTACAATTCGCCGCGACGCAAACCGAGATCTTCTCATTAAGCTCAACATTTGTACAGATACAAGTAGTGTTCAGACCGCAAGGCGACTTGATTGCTTCCTCCTCAATACAGAGTGCCTACGTACGAGTTAGCCAACCGCATCTCGACGGTGGTAAAAAAGCTTCACCTACACCACAAGTTGGAGGCTCTTCGGGCGCCGCGGCGGCCGATACACCAAGCTGAAATAAAGCCAGCACTAGTGCCAGCAAACCAAGGACCTTCATTGCCGACCGGATCAAAAAGACCATAAACGGTTTGGGCCTCGGAGCGAAGAATGACAGAGAAAGAAAACAAAAACAGGTCGGAAACGCCGGGTGGATTGGTGCCTTTCAAATCAGCTCAAAACATCGACGTGCAGCAGAGGAAACAACAACATGTTAAAAACTGATGAGGAGTGTTTCGGTACAGGATATCCTGGTATGGGGAGATCAGCACCGAGCCAAAGAGCCGGTTCTGCTATCAATGTCTGCCTGGATTATGGTATGTTGCTCTAACCGATGGTACTCTACTCCATGAGGAGCTCGCAAGCTAGTCGGCAATCTCAACATTTGACCCGGTGAATAGCCCAAGTTCACTGGAACAAACTCAACTAGCCGAGAGAAAACTTGCTCTGGAATGTTACACTGTCAGCCCGACTTTTTTGCTTTTTCTTTGCGCAGGGGATGCTGGGCGATCAACAGAGCGATAATTTGGTGGGGGGTAGGGTATCCTTGTGTTGTCTAGATGGTTGACCCCTGGTGAAGTGGCAGTGACTGCGAGCAGGTTCCACTGGTTCCTTTCCGCCGGGAGAATGCCAAGTTCGCTTGCGTGATCTCCAGAGATTTGGATCATTCTGTCAAAATTGACCTGCATACTCTACATATCACGATATCTATCCCATAGTCTGCGCTGACTCGTGATTTACTCTGCACAGACTTAATTGCTCGAGCAACTTGCATTAACCATCTGAGACACAGATGTCATGCGTTATTTTAGCTTCCGAACCAAAGTCGGCACTTCACAAAAACTTATCCCCATTCATAAAGCAGCGTCACATCGGGAAACTCAAACTAGAAAACGTGAAACGCCCAACGCCCTTTAGGCAAAGTCTTTCTTCAACGGGTATTGCTTCCCCAATTCGACCTAAGTGATGTGTTTCAAGGAATTACCGAATCTGGCTGGCTTTTCCACCTACCGGCATGCTTGTCCCGGTTCCGTGGTTTGCGGCTGCGGCCTGTCAGGAGAGGGGGGAAGCAGATCTTAATATCGACTGGGACGGAATATGATTGCGCAATGAGGGTAGATAGGGAAGAAGCTGGCTAGCCAAACACATCGTATGTTTTTCTAATCCTCTCGGCATTTCTTTTACTTTCTTCACACTCGTTCTTTTGTTACACTCATTTACTATCTAGCTACTCGTCATGCAGTGGCATTACTTTCTTTCACTTTTCCTCTGCTTTGGTGTGTATGGCTTCCCATCATACCTCGAAGGTCCTGTCGGAAAGGTCGTTTCTGCAAGACTCTCGGGGAAGGTGAACGATGCGGTTCGAAGTCATGATAAGAGGCTTTCGCTTGGTCTCGCGAGCAAGCCTATTGAGGTAACTGGCGAGCACGAATTCATCCCACCCAACTTTGAAAAGGGTGACCAACGAGGGCCCTGTCCTGGCCTCAATGCGCTGGCGAACCATGGATACATCAGCCGTAAGGGTGTTACAAGTCTCGTAGAGGTAGCGGGTGCTATTAATCAAGTTTACGGAATGGGAGTAGACCTGGCTACTATCTTGGCGACAATGGGAACAGTCTTTGTCGGAAACCCTCTGTCTCTCAACCCAGGCTTCTCCATCGGCAACACCGCCAGTGGCTCACAGAATATTCTGGGTAACCTCTTCGGGCTGTTGGGAACACCACGGGGTCTGAATGGTTCGCACAACATCATCGAAGGTGATTCGTCCAACACGAGGGATGACCTGTACGTCACCGGAGATGCATCTACCATGGACATGAAGCTGTTTCAGTCGCTCTACGACATGGCTTCTGAAGAGGGTACTTATGACTTTGACGCTTTCGCAAAGCGAGCGAAGCTTCGATTCCATGAGACTGTTGCTACCAATCCCAACTTTTACTACGGGCCTTTTACGGGGATGATTGCGCGAAATGCGGGATACTTCTTTGCTTGTCGGTTGCTTTCAAACCATACTGTTGGAAGCACAGAGGACATCATGGGTAAGTGAAGTATTTCTGAACTTACAGTCAATTTGCTGATGACAGATAGACCTTGGAACACTGAAGAGTTTCTTTGCTGTCCATGAGAGAGATGGAAAGCTTGTGTACAAGCGTGGCTGGGAGAGAATACCTGAGAACTGGTACCGTAGGTCAGTTGACTACGGTCTTATCAGTCTCAACTTGGATCTTCTCAACCTGATTACCAAGTACCCTGAGCTCGGAAGGTAAGCAAACCCATGCAAACATTAAGGTATATACTAATGAATACAGCATCGGAGGCAACATGGGAGAGGTGAATAGCTACGCTGGAGTGGACGTAAGCAGCATCACTGGCGGAGTTCTCAATCTCACCAAGCTTCTTGAGGGTAACAACCTGCTCTGCTTTGTCTTTGAGATCGTCAAGACCGTTGCACCAAACTCTCTCTCGACTCTGTTCTCTATCATCGCGACTCCACTTGAACTCATCACTGACGCTCTCGGTTCCGCCGTTCTGAACCTCGCTTGCCCCGCCTTCAAGGACTTGACTGTTGGTGGACAGAGCTTTGAGGATGGAATCAAGGATAAGTTCCCTGGTGCCAGCCTGGGTTCATCTGTCATCTAATCTCTAATCATTCGACCCCTCCACAATCCAGCTCTACCTTCACAGATAGATTACTCTTACATAATACTATTAAAAAGGTTCATCACATCTATACCATATAGTGGATCATTTCCACTGTCCCAGAGACTTTCTATCGGTGCATAGATCGGATCCAGCAGTGTTGTAGAGTTCAGTACTGTAGCCTGAGCCATCTCGAGCTGCGACCGTTAGATTAGAAGCAAGGTGCCGAGATATTGACTTACCTCCTGCTCAAGACTGTGGCTCACTCCAGAAGTACAAGTTTCGTCCCCTGAGATATCATGATTTGCAGAGGGCATCATGCTTTGAGCTCCCTTCAGTGAATCCTGGTTGTCGCACTGATTGATGTATTCGCGTGCGATATATGTAAACTCACTGATAAGCGAGCCAGGCAACGTTCCTCCACTCGCGAACTCAATACGACTGAAATGTCCACCCGCAATGTTGAGTAGAGCGAGGTTACTTCTTGTGTCCGGAGACTTGGGATTGCTGATGACGTGGTCGAAAAGAACAAAGAGGGCGCAGAGTGGAACAGCTGCGATAATCCTGCAGATTGTTTAGTATACAGCGTGGCTCAGGTCATTAGTGTAACTTACCACATTGGTGTTGAGGGCTCGACGTCAACATATGTAATAATCTCGAGTACTGAACGAGAAACCTCTATGAGCTGCTCACTATGACTTGTATTTCCCATTCCGCTGCCCTGAGAGCTGTCGATCTGTAGCCGGCTCCTCAGCAAGATGAGTTTGAGGCTGCAGTAGAGATAGTTGATCCAGATCTTAACTGTACCGTGTACCGGCCTTCGAAGGAAATTGAACTGTGCCGGGTATCCTGGGCGAAATTCCTCAGCGATAGAAGCCCTCCACTGTTCAAGGTCTTCGAGGAGTTGATCAATTGTCATCAAGAAGTATTGCGATCCACTGTGGCAGACACCAGGACAAAACAGAGCATTCATCGCTCGTGACAAAAGACGGCTCTGTTGAGCGAGTATGTGCGTCCAGTTGGCGGTTCCAAGGTGGGTGTCAGGTATGTAAGGCATAGGCGCGATGATATTAGCATCGATTATAGCCTGTAAAAGTGAGCCAGAGGACCAGAAACATCATGGAATAACCTACAGAAGGGCGGCCAAAGTGGAAGCTCATGATCTTCTCTATCACGTAAACGACCCAAAATACCCTATAGAACGACTTTGCACTGGGGCCTTTGCAAAGAGAAGGTGCTAGATCTTGGGCCATACGCGCCATCTCCGTCATGATTCTATGCTCGATGGATATACAAGGTACGCCGAGACAATAAACCGCAATTGTTGTTATCGCTTGGAGAGCGACCAGTGAGCTTTTGGCCTTTGGGAGATCGGGTACCTTGGCTAATGCGACGGAGAGTAATTCCCATGCCTTTCCCTTCCCCGGTTCAAAGCTACCGCCACCGTCATGGAGACTACCGAGAGCGAGGACGGAGTGATAAAGAGCAGAGAAGGCAGTATCGTTAATGAGGATTGTGCTGAGATTAGGATCTGCGACGTTGGAGTCGAATGAGTCGCGATCTAGGTGAGGAAAGAGAGGATGGACTTGTTCATGATATACTGCAGTGAATTAGTTCCATGGTTCACCCCATTTTAGTGTAGACGACTGACTAGCTATGTATTTTGCAGCAGATAAATAGTTCATCGATGGAAGGGTTAGCTCAGGAAGATGCTCAGGCGAGGTACTGGTCGTTATCTTGGCCCTGCTGTTGATGACCGAAGACATTCGCCGTATAAGGTCATTGACCTTGTTATTCTGAAGCTTGGCCGAGAGTGTCTCGAGTCTACTGTCAGAGAAGAATGTGACACTATGAGTACCGCCTGTGAACAGTGAGCCAATGCTACAGGTAATCCGGAGGGATCGAAGACGTACTCAACAGGCCGATTCCCTGTTGCCAAGTTAGTCTTGAGCATTGATTTCATAACCATAACAAGCTCACTTTTAGAGAAAATCGTTCATCAGCATTTGGAACATCTGTTGATGATGACCCAAACAAGATCCGGTCTATGAAGAGATCATTCTGTAGAGGATGAAAGGCGGTATCTCGCTTCAGATCTGCATCAGGCTAGACGGGTTAGCTAATAAGGAACGGAAGAATCCGCTGAGACATACCACAAGATTCTGCCCAGCAGGGCTACCGTCATTGAGTTTAATGTTGGGCGACGTTTCGCTGGTAGTCAGTAATAGATTTCGATTAACTACAGGCGTTAGACATGAGAAAAACTTAGGATAGATTAGACTGACCGTTCTTCCGAAGTGGTATTTTGCGCGTCCCAAATCGACAAGTCGCGCCTCGGGTCTATGCACGTCAATCTCAGTACCACTTTGCAGCTACTGATATCCACTCACGATACAGCTCTGGCACGGCGGAGGGTAACCTGCACAATCAGCCTCAAAATTTACAAGCCCGGGTCATTGACTAACCGGAACAGCGGATCTTTCTAGCCTTGCAAGAATCACAAGCTTTGGACGTCAAGGTACTCCGGAGTCGACGTTCGGAAAGAGGTGGAGTCGGCGGCATTTTGGAAGACTCCGATAGCGATGCTGAAAAAGTAAGAAGTAACAACGGAGAAGAGAGACGGCGTTGAACAAGTTTAAGGGAGAAGATGAAGTTGATGTTTCGGCGCCGACATTCCGTTTTGGGCTTAGGGAGAGAAAGAAGTGGAGTGGATGGTGGCTTGTTTGGGTTAGTGCCGGGATCTCAACGGCGTCGCATGTGAAGACTTGATGAGATAGCAGGGTTAGAGATATCTTGAACGGCGTTGGGATATCGCTACGCATATAACACTTTAGCTATGGTATGGAGTACATGGAATAATGTTTCGGAAATTGCAAGAATGTGGGCTCATGATGACGACGTATGCAGCCGGTTTCGTAGACTTCTTATATGAAGCCGCACAACGTCTTCATTCGTTACCAACTACCTACAGGGAAAAGTAAAATTCACTCGTTCGATCTATTTCTTACTAGCCACTCCGTCAAAATGCATGAGCGTACGCCCCCCTCAACTCCCCAAGACACAGAGGCCGACACAACCGTCGAAGAAACCACCGAGCCAGTCCTCCAACTAGCCCGCACATTCTCTCTAACTCGTACATTCTCCGCCCTCTCAACCAACACCAACCCATTCGTCGCTCAAGATTCCCGCCTTGACCCCAAGTCCCCAGACTTCCAACCTGAATCATGGGTCAAAGCTCTCCTTCACGCTTTTTCCAAAGACCCGAGTAAGCATCCGCGGTATACAGCTGGCGTATCCTGGCGCAATCTTAGTGTGCATGGATTCAGCGATCCGACTGAGTTTCAGAAAGATGTCTTCAATGTTATTTGGAGAAGTCCCCTTGCTGCGCTTGATTGGTTTGCGAAGAGGAAGCAGAAGGTCAAGATTATCTCGGATTTTGATGGGCTTGTTAAGAGTGGAGAGTTGCTTCTTGTTCTGGGTCGTCCGGGGAGGTACGTCGTCAGCCATCTTAGCCATTATTATGATTCTGACATGAAATTACAGTGGCGTTTCTACACTTCTCAAGACAATCGCTGGACATACTCACGGGCTACATCTCGACGACGCATCCGAGTTCAACTACCAAGGTACTATTTCCTACTCACCCCGTTTCTCACATCGTCTAACCTTCTAGGTATCCCTTGGGATCTAATGCACCGCAACTTCAGAGGAGAAGTAATCTACCAAGCCGAAACAGACATCCACTTCCCCCAACTGACCGTCGGCGATACCCTCCTCTTCGCAGCCCTCGCCCGCACGCCCCAGCATATCGTCGCCAACATATCCCGCCACGTCTACGCTGAACACATGAGAGACGCTGTGATGGCCATGTTCGGTATCTCCAACACCCTCAACACCAAAGTAGGAGATGATTTTGTTAGAGGTGTTAGTGGCGGTGAGAGAAAGAGGGTTAGTATTGCAGAGGCGATTCTGAACCAGAGCGCCATTCAATGTTGGGATAATAGCACGAGGGGACTGGATAGTGCCACGGCGTTGGAGTTTGTGAGGAAATTGAGGCTTGGAACGAAACTTGGTGGTGCGAGTGCGGTTGTTGCGATGTATCAGGCCAGTCAGGCCGCATATGATGCAAGTACCTCCCGGTCACCTTCTGATACCGACGACTAACTATTCTCAGGAGTTCGATAAAGTCCTCCTCCTGTACGAAGGCCGCCAGATCTTCTTCGGCCCGACAAGCGAAGCGACACGATACTTTACCACGATGGGCTTCGAATGCCCTCCGCGCCAAACAACCGCCGACTTCCTAACATCCCTCACGAACCCCGATGAACGGATCGTGAGACCTGGCTTTGAGAATAAAGTACCTCGCAGTCCCGATGAATTTGCCGACGAGTGGAGAATGAGCCAGCATAGGGCTTCGCTTCTCAGTGATATCGCTGCATTTGAGATCCAGTATCCTCTCGATGGTAAACAAGTTGAGACTCTGAAGGATATTAGAAGGGCCCAGAAGGCTAAATTTACGTAAGTCACCTTCTATCAATCAGATACTGAAACATTGATTTATTTTGTAGATCTGACAAAAGCCCCTTTACCATCTCGATCCCGATGCAGATCCAGCTGTGTATTGGTCGAGGTGTCAAGAGACTTCTCGGTGACAAGACCTTCTTCGTTGTTACGATTGCAGTCAACTTTGTCATGTCGCTTGTTCTTGGCAGTGTTTACTTCAACCTACCTAGCACGGCCGAGGCTATGAACCAACGGGCCTCGGTAATCTTCTTCGCTATATTGTTCAACGGCCTCAGCAGTGCTCTGGAAGTATGTTAGTTACTTCACCGTTCTTGTTCCTACTGATGATGGTGTAGATCCTTGCTCTCTATGTCCAGCGCCCGATCGTCGAGAAGCACGCAAGATACGCTTTATACCGCCCTCTTTCCGAGTCCGTCTCTTCCATCATCTGCGATCTACCATCCAAGATCATTTCAACCCTCGCCTTTAATATTCCGTTATACTTTATGGTGCACCTCCGTCGCGATGCCTCAGCCTTCTTTATCTTTCTCCTCTTCGGTTTCACCACTACCATGACAATGTCGATGATCCTTCGAACCATCGCCCAGTCTTCCAAGACAGTCCATCAAGCCCTCGTCCCCGCTGCCATCTTCATCATCGGCTTGGTCATCTACGCTGGATTCGTCCTCCCTATTCGAAGCATGAAGGGTTGGCTCAGATGGATCAACTACGTCAACCCAATCGCTTACGCTTACGAATCTCTGATTGCGAATGAGTTCTCGGGTAGGTCTTTTGGATGTCAGACAATGATACCTTCTGGTCCGGGGTACGAGAATATCGAGCCGATGCAGCGAACATGTTCCGTTGCTGGTGCTCTGCCAGGTCGAGGTTATATCGACGGTGACTTTTTTATTGGAACTGTTTACAGATACTACTACTCGCACCTTTGGAGGTACCTTGTGGCTCCTGTCTTTTAGATAACGCTAATCAGGTTAGGAACTACGGCATCCTGATCGCTTTCATCATCTTCTTCACCTTCACCTATCTCTTTGCGGCGGAGTACTTCTCACCTGAAGCCTCCAAGGGTGAGATCCTGGTATTTCGCAAGGGCCAGGGCCCTCAGCGCAAAGGGGCATCAGACGAAGAAGCCGTCAGTTCAGATTGCCAGCCTCCGCGAGCGGCTAGCGACGACACGGTAAACCCACCGACTGAGAAACCATCAAGTTCTTCGACGTTTTGCTGGAGGAATGTCTGCTATGATGTGAAGGTGAAGGGGGAGACGCGCCGCATTCTCTCGGACGTTTATGGTTGGGTTCAACCAGGAAAACTGACTGCTTTAATGGTAAGTGATAGGGGGAGACAAGAAGGCTTAGGACCTTTATCTTAAGTGATGAAGAGAGTTAAGAAACCTAGCCTGAAGTTAGGTGACTCTTGACTGAGTTTTCCTTGGAATCCTCTTTTAAAGTCTTACGTTTTCTCGCGTGGTTTGCACTGAGCACAGACATGGGCTAACGTTCATAGGGTGCCACTGGAGCTGGCAAGACCACGCTTCTCGATGTGTTAGCTGATCGGGTCACCATGGGTGTCATCACTGGCGACATCCTTGTGAATGGACTACCTCGAGGCAAGTCATTCCAGAGAACCACGGGATACGTGCAGCAGCAAGACATCCACCTCGAGACATCTACCGTTCGGGAGGCCCTCCGTTTCAGTGCAGTTCTCAGACAACCGACTGCCATTTCCATGCAAGACAAGATTGACTATGTTGAAGAGGTGATCAACTTATTGGAGATGGGTCCTTATGCAGATGCTGTTATCGGAGTTCCAGGTAAAGGTATGTCACTCTACCAACCTATAACTGCTGCAGACGACTAACAAATCAGGTCTCAACGTAGAGCAAAGGAAGCGTCTTTCCATTGGTGTCGAGCTAGTCGCCAAACCCGAAGCCCTCATCTTTCTTGACGAACCTACCTCTGGCCTCGATAGTCAAACAGCATGGGCAATTGTATCCCTTCTCAAGAAGCTCGCGGACCACGGGTTAGCTATCCTGTGTACCATCCACCAACCATCCGGCATCATCTTTCAGCAATTTGACCGACTCTTACTTCTGGCAAAAGGTGGCAGGACTGTTTACTTTGGCGACATTGGTGATAATACCACCGCCCTGACTGGATACTTTGAGAAGCATGGTGCTGTACCTTGCCGATCAGAGGAGAATCCTGCTGAGTGGATGCTGCATGTGATTGGTGCTGCACCGGGTGCTCATACGGATCATGACTGGGTCGAGACGTGGAAGGCTAGCTCTGAGTTCGACGGTGTGCAGAAGGAGCTTGGCAACTTAAGTCAGTCGAGGCATGTCTCTAGCGAAGCAGACACAGAGGATACCTCTTACGCTGCTTCGGTATCACAGCAGTTCCTGGCTTGCACCCAGCGCGTGGCCCAGCAATACTGGAGAACACCGACCTACATCTACTCGAAACTATCCCTTTGCTTCATCACGGCAAGTCAGCCACTCCCCTTTCACAAGCATTTACTAACACGTCTCAGAGTCTTTTCATCGGCCTCTCTTTCCAGAACTCCCCACTCTCTCTCCAAGGTCTCCAGAACCAACTCTTCTCGATCTTCATGCTCCTCGTAATCTTCGCATTCTTAACCTACCAAACCATGCCCGGTTTCGTCACCCAACGCACGCTGTACGAAGGCCGTGAAAGCTCTTCCAAAACATATGCTTGGTATAACCTTATTCTCGCCAACACGGTCATCGAAATGGCTTGGAATTCTGTGGCATCTTTGGTAGTCTATCTTCCGTTTTACTTTCTCGTTGGTATGTATGATAATGGTCGTATTACGGATACACAGCATGAAAGAGGATCCTTCATGTTTCTCTTGACGTGGGCTTTTATGGTGTATGAGGGGACTTTCTCGCATATGTGTGTCGCTGGGGCGCCGACTGCTGAGGTTGGAGCGACCTTTGGTTTGTTCCTGTTTATGATGTCTCTTGTGTTCTGCGGGTAAGTCACTTACTTCCACAATCCTTTATGTTCTATCTTCTCATGTCTTCTAATCTTTTCTAAGATCTTCTAACATTTGCATAGTGTTCTCGTCCCATATTCGGGCCTCCCCGGATTCTGGACCTTCATGTACCGTGTTTCCCCGTTGACATACCTCATCGGTGCCATGATCTCGAACGGCGTCGGTAGGCAAGAGGTCACCTGCTCAGAAATTGAGTTTCTGCAGTTCCAAACTCCAGCGAACCTCACTTGCGGTGAGTATGTCGGACAGTTCGTTCAGGCGGTGGGCGGTGCGCTATCAAACCCAGGATCGAACCAGACTTGCCTCTACTGTCCGATTGCGTCAACCGATACATACCTTGGAACTCTCAGTATTCGATACAGTGAGAGATGGAGAAACTTTGGTCTGCTGTGGGCCTTTATTTTGTTCGATATCGTTGCAGCATTAGGAGCATATTGGTTGATCAGGGTGCCCAAGAAGGGAACGGGATTATTGTTTTGGAAGAAGTAGCCTCTCATAGGGTATCTAGTAGTCTCGGTACAACATATAAAGAGGTTGTCTATTTATATATTTCTACCGTAGTTCTGAGAATTTCCTTATATCCTTTATTTTCAACGTTCGCCCAATATTTAGAGAACAGAAGCAAAGCAGTTGGGAACAAGGACTCTATCACCAGAGTCAATGCTACAATCCGCCTCAGTAAACGCTGCAGCATCCGGGAGTAGCTCGCAAGTGCGCGACTCGAGATCAGGCTTTCCTCCAAGTTCCTCGCAACGACCACTGAGATTGAACTTGCGCTGGGGCTGCCGACCAGCCGCAACATCATCATCGGTGGTAACGCAGAAACAGTCAATAGCCATGACAGTGCTGCATTTAGCTTATGTCAGTACTGGGGAACGGAGAGCGACGAGGGCGACTTGCCTAATGGAAGAGAGAAGGGCGATGGTGAAGAACTTCATATTTAATGATTTTTGTTGAGACCTGCTCGACTTTTGTGAAATAGACTTTGACCACATTAGAATTGACTAGGTGAACTTGGTGCATTAGGTACCTTGATTTGTGGTTATTAAGACCTGGAGAAGATGAAATTGATCCTATAAAGATGTAGATGGAGAGATGCTTGATGATGAAATTCAGATATTAAAGTAGAGGAATCAAGGAGGTCTTATAGTCAGCTCAAGTCACGAATTTGACCAACTATATCCATTACTAGTACTCTTAGATTATAGTCAATAGGGTTGTGCCTCAACGAGAGACTCTTTGCATGTCTGAAACCAGTCAGGCGAGTCATTCAAAGTTTATTTTCTCTGTTATTCCATGTCGTCGCGGTTTTCAGTTAAGCTATCTCAAACCTATCATGGCGTGATTCCAAGCAAAAGTTGTCTTGTGATATCGTGACATTCCAAAAAAAGAATCCAATTCGGAGACGATAATGAGACTAAGTTGTTCTGAAACAGCTTTTATGCTATAGGTTCGGAAGGTATAAAATCCGAGACCGTGTCACGTTTGCCTCAGAAAAACTCTATTTACTGTCAAAGGCTGACCAACCGACAGTTGAAGCCAAGATGCTGGATCCGGGGCTCATTGATTGAATAGAGGGAGATTGATGTGAGTTTGTTCAGGAATATTCAAGGGTATGTTTAGTCTACCAAAGGTTTAATTATATCGTTTTGTTCTAATGACTTGGGACTCATAGACCTCATTGCTTCCCCCAGTTCCTTGCTTCGTTACGAGCATAACAGTCTAATAATCCTAAATTGATAATTACGTTCACTACTGGATACTCAGATGCCAGAAGATAAATGCTGTTGACAAAGGGACTTGAAAGATGTCCTTTGACGCATCGCGAACCGTAAGGGGTAGATTGCCAAGATCCCCGAAACCAGTCTTGGCAAATATGAGGGAATAGCAGTCTTGTGACTAAACCAGATTTCCTAATCTGATATTTAAGGTTCATATGAGACCGCAGTGCCGTTCGTTTCACATCGATGCATAATTCTAAGCTTAACCTGCGTTAGCTGAATTAGGCTAATAAACCCGCTGTCAAAAGTTCATACACGATTCCATTACTGCATTCGCGCGATATACTCAGATGTGTTAGAGAATCTTGATAGTCAGATTTCGTAGTAAAACTTTAATCTGAAAACACACTCTTTTGGGAGCGTTGGTACGGGTGAAGCAGGATCCGAGCCTCAGAATAGTCCAGATCTAATCAGAAAGCGCCATGTTCAGATGTCTCATGACTCGCCAGTCTGACTCCTGGATGATTTGGGAATAGTCATCTTTCTCGATATTCATGCATCAGACATAGAGTTCTTGACACGCTTGTCCAATGACTGTCTGTGGATGGCACTGGCAACTGGTTTCTGTATAAAGAGCCTTGCTATTGCTGTCACTAATGTCAACATCATTCTCAACCGGAACATCAACAATCTTTCCTTGCTTCCAATTCATATTTCATTCTCTTCACAACAAGCTGGTCTTGAACGTTTTCAATACAAGTATGTCTTCACATCAGAACACTTATACCACAGGACTAACCTCCCAGCAGCATTCACATTCATCATGAAGGCCTCAATCATCCTCACCACCATTCTCACGACCTCCGCCTGGGCCGGCACCCTCCCTACTAAGCGCCAAAACGCCGCCAACGAGGCCGCCCTCCAACAAGCCCGCGAAGACTCTGTCAAAGCCATTGAGGGCGGACAAGGCCGTGGACGACTTCTTCTCGACGAGGGAAACTGCAGCGAGGCCTGTAACCGCTGTCGTGCTAGCGCCGTCGCTACTGCTGTCGCTGAGGTCTTTGCCTGCGGTACGGCTGCTGTCGCCATTGATGTTCTGACGGCTGGCATCGCGACATTCCTTGAGGCTGCTGGCTTTGTGGCTTGTGAGGCTGCGGTTGTCAGTACTTTGAATGAGAAGGAGGAGACTTGTCTGAAGGAGTAGAAGCTGCAGTCAATTGGGTTTCCTCAGTGTGTTGGCTTGGTATGTCTCGTTAGATGTCATAAGCTTTGACTGTCAATCGATGATCGGAAAGGTGGGATTTCTTGGTCCGCATTGGGCTTGCATAGGCAAATATCATCTTCGCTATACAGCCATCTAATGCTCCGCCATTGTTGACCATGCGATGGATCTCCACAATAAATTCCAATACTCAACCGTTATTCTTCTACTAAGATCGCTGACATTCCCACGGGCATCGCTGAAATCATCTTATAAGCCCTTCTCCAACTGAAAAGATTATCTCCAAAGACTCCTCCCGTCCAATCCACCACTCAGTATCAATCTCACACAGCTCAGGATCCACCCAGGGAATGCCCCTCGGGATCTGTCCTTTTCTATCTCGCATGTACGCTTCCACGTCACGACACCTGTACATCATTGTCTTCGTATATCTCTTCCGCGTATTATGCGTGCACTCACCATTTTCGCTCTCAGGATCACTTGCCCAGACGTGGCTGAATCTCCTCTCTTCTGGTATACAAGCAGGACTCTGATCCAGTGTATGTGCCAAACGAAGCGACTCCTTGTCAAAAGTCCCTTCTTCAGCGTTGATTATTGCCGCCACCAGGGAGCCTTCCGTCTCAGCACACCATGGACCTTCTTTTCCACTCTTCAGTATGAGGCTCAAAGCCTTTCGACGCCAGAATGGACTTCTGTATTTCTTTGCGGTGAAATACAGCGGGTGAATTATGCCCATTTCCGGCACGAAAGATGGCAGCCAGTCTTGAGTCTCGCGTCTTGGTGCGCCTTGGAGGCATTTGCTCATTAACAGGGTCCCTATAGACGTGATGATTTCCTCAAACTCTGGGCCATAGCAGTCGTAGGCAGTCTCGCGTGGTTCGAGTATAGCGGCGGTGTTGATCAGCGCTGCGAGGCATTGGGAGCGGAGAACGATCAGCGATTCGTGGGACTCGGTGTCTGTATTAGGTAGGATCTCGTTTCTTGAGAGCCACTGCTTCAAGTTGGAGAGCTGTCGGCCCTGTTCTATGAGAAGCTCGGGTGGGATCATTCGGCGACTGGTGTACTTGTACCGAAAGGCTTTGGCGGTGAAATGATAACTTGAATGGAGAATCTTGAAAAGTGACCCATCTGGCGGATAGGACTGCAGTACATCGCCCATGACGAAGGGTTTCGTGGGAAGGTTTGGAGGATGGGACACAGCGTATGTAGCGACATGCAAGTCAAGCTTTTTCAGGAGCAGCACAAGACTATCGGTATCAACCTCTGCAAGGAGTTGCTTATCGGTCAGTGACATCATGAGAGAGAAAGTACCCTGGAGATGCACAAGGGCTTTGTTAAGCCTCTGCTGCAAAGCTTCGACAAAGCCAAGGAAAATGCAGGCAACGACACATGGAATAGGACCATTCGGCATGGTGGCAAGGTCCTGCTGCACCAATCTCAAGGCCATTGAGTATCGCTTTGTTGTTTCGAAGCCTGGTCGTGTAGAAGTGTCTCTGAGGACGTATTCGCTGTAGGATGTGCCGAACGCTTCGATGGCGGCACGCACGGATGGGATGGATTGGGCTAGTTGGGGGACGGTCCGGGACCAGAATGTATGCTCGACGTTGTTTCTTGCACGACGGGGACTTTGGACCAGGACAGTACAGCCGAGGTCGACAAAGGGACTCGATAGGGAGTATGGGTTAAAAGCGAGCGATCTCATCGTCGAGATGATTGTTTCTGAGGGTGATTGTGGCGAGGAGGTGTCTGAGGGCGAAGAAGAGGCGGATACAAGCGATAGAGCTGTCGATGCAGTGCTATCCGAGTCTGAATATGCACCTCGGGGATACCCTTGGCATTCTCGCTTCGAGATCAAGCAACGTTGACAAGCCGGCTTGCCCTCATCGCACTTGATTCGCCGAGCCCTGAACGAGTCAGCAGTACATTAGCAACAAGAAAACACGTGTCATACTTGCAGGTGAAACAGCCAAACTTGGACTGCTTAACGTTGGTCCTCGTTCTCTTCGGTTTAGTCGCCTCTACCATCATGGGCACGCTGAAGACCGAGAAGACAAGAAAATGTAAAGACCGAAGGCGTTATAAAACCCGATCAGCAAATCAGCCCCAGTTCCCACGAGGTTGACAGGGAGTCATTATCTCCAAAACGATGCTAGCGCAAAGTCAAAGACCGAGCGATAACTGGGGCGATAATGATCAGTGTCCAATTAAAATTAGTCCGTCTTACGATGCTGAAGGAGGCTCAGACAAAGACCGAGTGAAGGATTCGGTGCCTGAGCCATTGGCCAATGAGATTGATGATGAAGAGTATCAGAGATAGAGGGGGAACGTAATCTTTTATCGTATGCTTAATTTAGGTGACCCGTTTTAGATCCTCAGCTCGTACTTCAATCGCTGTTTTCTTCGACGCTCGGTCTTTTGACCAATCAGAGATGATGCCTATACTTAGATAATTCCTGTCAAACACCGAGATGTGATGAATTTTCGCAAAGGGCGCGGTAGAAAAGGGACAAGAGATGATATATAAACAAGCGTTGGTATTCCGATCAACGAAATGCTCAATTCCAATTTAACACAACATTTTGCGCTGCCTCAATCTTTCATCTCTCGTCAATAACTTCACTGCTCACGATGTCAGACCCACTCATTTGCACTCACGTCTCCAAAGAGTGCCCTATCGAACTCACAACTTATGGATATCGTCCTAATCTCGGCGGCAACATCTTCCTAGCCGCGATTTTCGGCATCGCATTCGTTGTTAATATCGTCCTCGGCATTCGCTTCCGCATCCGCGCTTATGCCATTGTTCTCAGTCTGGGCTGCCTAGCCCAAGTCCTGGGCTACGTCGGACGCGTGGGGATGTACTTTAACCCTTTCGACGCGATTCCCTTCCAAGCGCAGATCTGCTGTCTTATCATTGGTCCTGCATTCAACAGCGCGGCTGTATATCTCATGCTAAAGCATATCGTTGCGCTGTTTGGAGCCAGGTGGTCTGTGCTGCAGCCAAAGTGGTATACTATCATCTTCATCACTGCAGATGTGGTATCGTTGGTGTTGCAAGCTGTTGGCGGCGGTATCACTGCGACTTCTGATTTCAGAACGGACCACGATAGGATTGAAATGGGCAACAATATCATGATGGCGGGCATTGCGTTTCAAGTGGTGACACTATCGATCTTTGCGATACTGGCAACTCTGTTCTGCGTCAGAAGAATGCGAGCTCTCACAACGAATCCTCTTGAGGGCAATTCCCTCCAGGCTTGGCGGACTCGTCGATTTCGATTGTTCCTGGGGGGACTTGCGACTGCGTTTATGGCGATTTATATCCGCTGCGTGTATCGCATTGCGGAGATGCGAGGTGGTTGGGGTAACAAATTGATGAGAGAGCAAATCCCTTTCATCATTTTTGAGTCGGTGTGAGTATTGTCTAGAACTCTAGACCATGGTCGAATGGACTGCTAATAACTTGGATGAAGCATGATTCTCACTGTAACTTTGGCGCAGACCATTCTACACCCTGGATACTTCTTCCCGTGGTTTGCTGATCAGACTCCTAAACTTGGTAAGAAATGTCAAAGGACAAAGTGACTTCTTAAACTAACAACTTCTAGATGCTGAGAGCTCGTATACGGAACTGTCTATTGTCTCTGGATCACGAACGGGTTTTGAGGGGTCGAAGTAATTGGACGGAGAAGCATATATCACGGATCTCGAAGGAATTGGAGTTATTCATCCAATCGCGTTTATTGTGGGTAGCAGAAGCGCTGTTATTAAGAGTAGAGTATCATAGACCATTGCAGAGAATTATCGCTTAATAGAGCATTTACCTTTCCTTTGTGATAAACATTCACATACCTTGCAATAAACATTGCACCATCGGCGGACTTTAACAGTACACTACTGACAGAATGCATACCAATCATGTGACTCGACCTTTTGGGGTAGCTATTTACTAGTGTTGAAAGTTGCATGCCTGTAGAATCAAGTTACACGCCACGACCATTGAAGGGCCTCTTCACGTTTCCTCTTGTGGCAGACTCGATGGCTAGAAGAGAAGACAAGCTTCGGGAGACAACAAGACTTGAGGAGCACTGGTAGCCTACGGGGACTTCGGAAGGTCAATGCAGCTTTGATTGGTCACCGTCAATGGCTGGGATGACCTGAGTTGTGATCTGATGCGCCACGCTGCAAGGATCAGTACAGCTCTCTGCCGTTGAAGCAGTCACCTACCATCAGATGAAGACCATTCCAACTACAAAGCTGAGTCTTAAGAATTCGATACAACATGTATGTCTAGAGTAACGGAGTTGAAAAGCTCTCGCAAAGATCATTCGCAATGTTGGTGACCTCTATCACGTCCAGGTCGGTGAGGGGAACCGCAGACTGACAATCTCACCAATGACGCTTACAAAATGACCGTTCTTCCCAGTGCACGTTTCTGCTAGTCCCGCCACTCCCGAACCATCTTAGAGCTTGTTATAACACCATCCTGCAATGCTAAGTGCAACAGCAAACACAACGCCCAATGTAATACATCTCACTGCAGGAAGCATGCCACTGTGAAGCACAAAGCCCTATAGGGAAAAAGCAATGCTACGTCGCTTGGATCAAGACCACCAATCTCTTAGTCACAGATTGCCGTCATATGATCTTATCGATACACATTCAATATTATGCATTGATATCGCTGTGTGTGAACAGCGAACATGCTAGTTGGCACTCCCATCGTCGAATCATTGCGTGCAAGTTCAATTGATGCAAGAATTAGCGTTATCTCGCAAGACTGAGGAAACGCCATTTTGAAAAGTTCTTATCAACAGCTGAAAATAAATGTCCAGGTTTGAAAGAAGGCTGCAGGTTGCCAAGGCAGCCACTGGGTGAACACATCGGTTCATTTCAATTTTATGCAGCCGAAAAACGCCTCTGTTGATCACAAACTTGGCCATGCCAATGAATGCTTCAATTGGATTCCACTGCGAGCCAATTGGTATTTCAATCACATTTATCACACAACGTCAAGGCTATTGACGCAGCCGACGCCATTATTGCCAGCAAGGCTGCCCAAAGTAAGCCCAGCAATGTCTCACGCAGATAGTAACATCACGACAGAACGTCAGTGCCATTTCTCACGACATTTCCCTTTTCAAGCGTTGTTGCCTCGAAGCGGGGGGTTATATCCGGCAGCTTCTATGATTCATCTCTGGCATAGTACACTGCATAGCCGCAACCACTACCAACAAGACGTTGTTGTCACTACGTTTTAGCGTCATCGAGTTTTCTTGATCGCCCTGATCGGTCATCAGTAGGCTCAGGTACCTTGTCCTCACGGGCCAATCACTGCACCCCTGCGATTGCGCAATCTGACAACTCCCCTCTATCCCCATATAACAGGTTGTCAGCAGTCACAGTCTATTGGCGGGAGTTTTCTTGGAACGCGGGGCCTGACCTGAAGCTTGCAGATGCAGAGTAAGCCCAACAGGACCGGTCAACGTGTTACAAGGTCTGGACTGTGAAGGTCCTTTGCTTTGTTTCTGACACTCACGTAAGGCTGGGATGGAGGTGAGCTTGAATCCTTCGAGGTAACGCTATCAAAACAAGATTTTGGGAGTATTCTCAAAGCGGAAAACCCTACAGATGTGTCTCGGAAAATAACGTGCCAAGTGATGGAATTGGAGAGTGTGTGGATCACGGGTCGTGAATTCAGCTGGCCCGGTAAATGGCTGTTGTTATTCTTGGCTCCCAGAGTGTAACGTCGTGTAGCCACCACCTCCGCGTTAAGGCCCGGTACCTGTAAATCCCCCGCAAGACGGTCAAAACGGCGGTAACTAAGTATATCGGCCTTTAGACTAAAGTTTCACCATCACAAATACGATGTCAAAGCGTCCCGTGTAGATAAGATTACCGATCACGCAATCTGGTATGCAGTTCACGTAAGTTCAAGCCCGCGACCGTTCAAACTGTTAAGATGGTACAGAGCTTGTTTCTGTACCCGTCGAATGAGACGCTCTGATAAGATAGCCTGATATGCGAAGTAACCCACCAAGCCCAGCGGTCAACCGGTAAGCTGACTTATAACAAAGTCGCCACAACGGATGAGCTTAACCATATTTCCGTCCCGCGTCAATAAAGGCTGTCGACCTGCATTAATACTTGTCCGTGGCTGCATAAACACGAGCTGACCGGCAGATACGAGCTTATGGCTGAACATGATTGTTGTGATTGGCAGGTGGACGTGAGAATATTGAACAACTCAACAAGAGTAGCTTTCAACATTCGGCCGGGCGGGATTGAGGTTGAGTGTTGGTGAGAAGGTGAGGCCAACTTGGTTGATGGTACGATTGAGCATGTGCATCTCGCAATATGTAGGAATTGAGTAACTCATCCAGGAGGTTGGACGGCAGAAGTGGACGAGCTGTATGTAGATGGCTTGTATAAAGAGTCCTTGTGATCTCCTCATTCCAAGACTCACTCAGGCTCAACCACTGGCTCAACTCTCCTGACCACTCTTTCAAGAACATCACCACATCTTCATCATACCTTCGCTGCAACCGCCAACATGAAGTTCTCAACCTTCATCGCTCCTCTCATCTCAATCCCTCTGGTCTTCGCCAGCCCCAACCCCAACAACGACCACTACCCACCTCCCCCCAAGACCAAGACCGTGACCGCAACAGTCACCCACACCGTCACCAAGCCCATCTACAAGCCCCCGATCACCAAGACCGAGACCGTCACCAAGAAGTACCCCGTCACCAAGTACGAGACTGAGACCGTCACAAAGTACAAGTGGAAGCCTCCCATCACCAAGACCGAGTATGTCACAAAGTGGAAGCCTCCCGTGACAAAGTACGTGACCAAGACCGAGACCGACACCGTCACCAAGTGGAAGCCCCCCGTTACCAAGTATGTCACCAAGACACAGACCGACACTATCACAAAGTGGAAGCCTCCTATCATCAAGACAAAGACGGAAACCGAGACCGACACCGTCACCAAGTACAAGTGGAAGCCTGCCATCACCAAGTACAAGACCGAGACTGTTACCAAGACGGTCACCAAGCAGCCTTATCCTACTCACCACAAGCCCGGCAAGGACTACAAGGCTTAAGAGATATGCATCTCTTTATGGACAGCCTGAGAGGTTTACGTTCTTACCTCTGACTCGTCACTTATCTCAGTGATGGGCATCGCCTCCGGCAAGGCTATGATGGATCATGACGCGACACGACACTCCTTAATTATTTAATGTCTTCATTTTGTCACTGTATACGCGCTGTCGCCACTACAAGTTGAGCTAGTGGGGAGGGAGCTATCACTTGGTGGCTCCTTTGGGCGATTGGATAAAATTTCTTCTTCGAAACACTCGTTGTATAGTGGACATAGCCGCGATAACGGCGACTACAGTTATCTATAGACCTTATATAGCTTGAATGATATTGCTGTTTACTGTATCAATGCTGCCGCCAATGAACTGAAAGTGATCCTGGGTACCTTGACGTCAGAGACTACGTGCCGAAAGGTATGATACAAACACTATTTTTATGCGGCTCCATGTCCACTGATAACTGCGTTGTCACTTGTCCTCTGATTGAAGAATGGGCTGTAGGATCTACTCAAATCGGCCGTCTTCTTGACTCGGAGAACTTGCTCTCTTGGTAGTTGCAGTACTTTAACAATTATGCGATGTAAGCAGACTTCTTACTAATAAGCGCCTTATAAGGACATGGAGACTTCTTCATTTCATGCAAAAACATTTACTTTCAATCTTTTTTCATTGTAGTAGAGCACTCACAGGTACATAGTCCGGGATCAGATAGTCGAGATCAACGCGAAATGGCAATTCGTCATAGCTAGCAGAATAGCCCCTGAGCCCGCAGGGATGTAGCAATTGTAAGGCTGTCGTCATTACAAAAGTGACAAGCAAAACCGGCACGTAGTTCCGTCTAATGCACTCACTTATTTGTCGGTCTCCTCTTCTTTTTCGTTGCTCAACTTCTCAAGCTGCTCCTTCAATCGGTGTATTTCCTTCTCCAGAAACTCATTTCGCTCCATCAGCTCCATAATCCATCTATCACGATCTTCTTCATCTTTCAGTCTCTGAACCTCATCCTGCAGAAAACTTATATATGTCTTGGCCGCATTATTAGCCTCGATGCCCAAATTTTCTGTACTTTCTATAACAAGCTTTAGTATCGACACGAAAAGTACGAAAATCTGGGAATGCACAGAATGCAAACCTTTCGTATTCTCGGTTTCGCTCGGCATATCGGAGGACTAGTTGGTCCGTGGGAGATACTGGCCGCGTCAAGAGTCCTGGTCTGAACTGCGTGGATATGATGTTTTAATGCTTTTCAAGTCCGCACGTTTCGGCTTTATGTTTCATCACGTAGCATTAAGTGAACTAATATGATCTGATGCTTATTACCATCGCGCCACCGACTTAGTGCATGCCACCTCCACTAACCTAGGATCTGCAAGTGCCGTTCTTTTATATGTGTAAGATGGTCTAGGGTTCCAGGGAGCTGGTCTCCCTAGCGCGAGTAGCTGAATCAGACTGTGCCTGTCATGCAGGAGATTAAACTTTGGCATGGCAGCAAACCCTGCACTATTCCCCACTGACGATTCTCCTTTTAGCTGCCACGGAATGGCATGAGGAGTCCATGGGTGGTGAATATGAGCTCGCATGCGAGAGTCACGTTCCTTAATAGATAATATAAGTTGAATTCACATTGCAATACCTTTGTTGGCCACCTGCATCAGATAAGGTACCACTACGGCCCGATGGCAATCTCGATTCGTGTGACCACCTGTCATATATCATCCTTGGAGATCTCAACACATCTGCCGAATACCCACCGTAGTTATTCGACTTCTATGACTCAAGTCTTAACGGTCTATAGTTAGGCATGGCATCCTGGACTACGTATGCAGCCAAACATCTGCAATCGCGGTCCGAGGCGTGGCCAAGGATCCGCTCTGGAGGGCATCAGCTGCCCTTGAAATACGGAAAACCTTTCCTTTCCTGTACTAGCCGCTCTTCTGCCAGCGATCAACGATCGTCTCTTTGCCATCAGGCCAAGGGTGAAGATAAGCTTTGAGACATCGCTCTTTTGTCGGCCCGATGGCAATAGCCATGCTTGCCAATTGCTCGTCTGAACAGGGTTTACAAAGATTGTGTTTTGGTTGAGAGGCAGTTCCGACAACTCGCAAGGTGTCTCACCCCACTTCGTTGTCATAAGAGGTTACCCTAGCTTTTATCATCGTTGATCACTTCGCCCCAGTGCTTGAAGTCCCGCTTTGCTTCTGCTAATTCCACAGAACAAATTCTAGACCATCTTGGCACTGACTCGAAGCTGTTGAGTCGTGAGGTGTTTTGAATCAGTTCTAATCTGTCATGGATATGTATGGTCACCGAGGTTGCAAAGGCAAAAGTACGATTAGAGTTTTCTCGTAGTTATCTCCAGCATTACCCTAGGCAGCTTAGGTAACTCTTTGGGATTAGGTTGCGAGTTGCGACGAAATACAATCCCCTGTTGGCGCTACTACCTAACACAGGCACATCCCTTCGAAAGTGCAGAGTGCTAAAATAATCCCCTGCGGCCTTTTTCATCCCTCATGGTAAAATGCTTCCGGCTTAAAGCCATTGCTTGTTTCCATAGTGGAACATAAAGGAACCTCTATTAACCAGCCGCAATACTGGCTTTGTTTACAACAAAAATGATAGCGCACTGCTAAAATCCATTTCTTCAAAATAACAATTCCGTAGGGTTAGGACACCCAAATGGCTCTTGTAGTTGCTACTCCTCAATCCTCTTGAGAAACAGTATATTTATATTTTTCTCTATTTACATCAAAGTCTGTAGAGTAGTACTGTAAGATCAAAGGCTAGATACTCTTCACTATCTGGGCTAAAACGGAGATAACCTGAGCTCTAAATGCTTGTTGAAGGTGTATATCCTCCTTAGTGTCATCCTCAACCCCAAAGTCACCCGTCAAGCAAGCCACAACCAACTCGGTATATTTACCGCCGACTTTTGCTGGTAGTCGTCTCCGAGCTACCTTCGTGAGTCTCTCTCTGATGTTCTCGGGGTTCCTCATCACGCTGAAAAGATCACGGGGATGCTGCTGTTGAATGGCTGGCTCCCAAAGACCTGAATCACCCTGTCAGTTTGACGACATCAACGAGTTAATGTTATAGTTGGATGTTACGAACCTATTTCCAGTAGAACAACGCCCAAAGAGTATATATCATGCCACTTGCTGAACGTCATTGTTGGCCGACCTTGCCTTTCTGGATGCCGATAGATGTCCCTGTCAGGATTCGTGTCAGGAAAGCCATGTGAGAAGAAGCTCTCTGGCCGACTGAAATCGAATCCCAGAATCCACGGACTGTCTAGCGAAATTGCGACGTTGCTTCTGCCATTTCTTGGGTCATCTTGTAGTGGAGGGGGAAGAAAAAAAAGGATATTCTCGCTCCTAAAACTTTCATGAACCCATTGGACCATCTGAAGTTGCGATATGCTCGTAGCAAGATTGTGTACCAGGTTAAACTTGTCTTGTAGTGACGGCTTGATACCGGGATCATCAAAGAGGTGCAGTAAGCTCTGAGGCTGGGTTCTCGGAGCACCTGGTGATTCAAAGATGAAGGCTATTTCTCGGGTTGATGGCAGAAATCTCCATCCGATGCATTTCGGAATTCGAAAGACTTGGCCTTTGGGTTGTTGTAAGAGTGCAACCAGCCCATTCAACCGTGATCTTGTTTGATGATCTATTTCACTGCTGTTCACCTTGTACTCACAAGTATCCTGCAGGTACGATGTGCGACTTTTGTTGAAGGTGACAAATCTGTCTTCTATCCGTGTTACATCTTTGCACCCGAAAGTAAAATCGTCGCTAATCTCGAAGTCGTCTGCCATGCCGACAGTAGCCGCTTGAGCTAATAGCTGTAGGCCGGCTGTTTCGTCAAATCCTAGCTGTTTTGCAGCTTGATTATGCTGCATGTTCTCTAGGTGTTGCAAGTTAACTCCGATTCCAGATGCAAAGCTGTTAAGCTGCACTATCCGGTACAAGTTATTATTCCGATCTGCATAACGGTCTATGATGTCTTTAGCGCTTCTTTTGTCATACAAAGACCATATCAACTTCCTGCCCAAGGACACAGTGCTAGAACTCCTCTCAGCTATTTGTGTCCCGGGCTGGGATGATATATCCACAGTCGATGTGGAAGGGGAAGGGCTGTTTGAGCGGGAAGTCCTGAATCGGTTTTCTCTTGAGAACCATGATTGATCAGAGCCACAATGGCGATCGAGTAGTTTTGCAGCGCTTTCCAGGGTGTCAAGGAGTTCTTCTACCACGCTTAATATGGTCCTTTGGACCTCTTCTCCATACTGTTCAAACAGCATTTGTCCTCCGTATTTCTACAGCAGGTTAACTTAAGCTCTTGTGGTTAGTGATAAGAGTGGACTTACTGGAGACTTCTCAAATAACAAATACTTCAAAGCCTTAGTAATTCCATGTTCTCGTCTGATCGTCTCTGAAACGTGCCTCAAGTCCTTCAAAGTCTAATGTCAGTCTGCTTGACTCCTCTCAACAAAAGTTCGCCGTGGCCAATACCTCAGCGAATGTGCGGATGTCCTGGATAGTCTGCGCAGTTCTTTCCCCAAGCTTTAGAAGCTGGTCAAAAACGGCGATCGCCAAACCGGCGATTCCAATAGCGTCCGCCATTTAAAGTTAACCATAAAAGCCTCTTAAGGATCTATACCTCAAATCTAAAAGGCCTCAGGGTAGTCGAGAAATTTTGAGGGGAAGCACCAGGAGCAGAGCCGCACGACATGGGTGAGGGAGCAATCTGGTTCGCCGGGCTGGTTGCCTTTTGCCCACTCATCTGCACTGTCCTGAGTATCGCAAGTCAATAACAATTGGTTAGAAATGGACCCCAGGCTGGTTCTGCCCCTCCAGTGTCGAATCAACAGGCATTTTCAATCCCCCTCCCCCCTGTACTGTAAGATGATACTGGCGCTTAGGCCGCAGACACGAAAACACCGACTTCGTACACGCCAGCAAATAGAAGGGGACCACTTGTCGACCACAGTCGTGGGAATGCTGTGTAACCCTCTCTCTGCTAAGATTGATTGGCTGCAGCTGCTCACTTGGTGGTCAGCGCGTTGGTGGCTTCCCTTAATCTTCTTACAGCTCGGCTGAATCTTGGGTTTGCGATTGGACAAGCCAAGACCTTTGATGTAAAATGAGGGGCTTGGAACCTATAGGATTTTGTCCATAGCCGCCCTTCCTGGAAGATGGGCGAAGACTGCTGATATGATTGTCCTGCCCCGCGACCATGCATTCACACGCAGAAGGTAGACAAGACTTTCCAGCAAAATCAGATTAAACAGATCGAAAACAATTTCCTCAATAGTGCTGTCGCTCTGTTGGCGGTTCCAACTTCCTGCTTCGACGTAAAGTGCGTTTCCAGTTTACAGCCAACCGCCATCAGCTATACCAGACAACCCTGTTTTCCTCTTCAATGAGTGATTCGGTATGGCTGCCTGTTTGTCTCTGTGAGACAGCGCATAGCACCAGGTACACTTGCTCATACACGTACAGTCCTTCTCAGTCTGGTCCTCCCGTCCACCACCTCGGACACTGGTATCCTGTTCTGTTGGGTTTTCCAGACCGGGCGGGGCAAAGGTCCGATCTCTACAAGACCTTCTCCGCGCCATTCAGCCTCTTAACATTCGACTCACTGCGGCATCATCACTCCGAAATCCCCAAAGAGCCGGCGAGGGTGCATCGTACACAGTCTTTCGATACACCGATGTTGCGACCAACAAGGCAGTTGCCGTCAAACAAATCAAATTAGCCCAAGATGCCAACAACCATCAGGCTCACCAGGACCGAGTGGAATGCGTTTTGAAAGATATAGAGGTCATGTGCCATCCGCCTCTTGCTCAGCACGAGAACATACTGACACTTCTGGGCTATGGCTGGGGGTTACGGCAAGGAGACACCATACCATTCATCGTAACTGACTACGCTGCTTGTGGCACGCTGCGCGATTATCTCCAAAGCGTGAGAGTTCCCATGAGCTCCAAACTGTCCCTGTGTAGTCAAGTCGCTTGTGGTTTGAACAGGATGCATTGGGCTGGTGTTGCTCATGGTGACTTAAAACTTGAGAACGTACTCGTCTTTCCCAGCCACACGATAGAAGGTTCAGGGACTTATGAGACCGATGTGACAGTGAAGTTGGTAGTTAACCCTTTCCTTTTTGCCCTATATAATGCGATACAATTGCCAGGCCTCGGGTTTATGGGAGCGCTGATCTAGATGACAGTCAGACTTTGGACACGCATGCCTTTTTAGGGACGAGCAAGGAGATGGTGCAGTTCAGATTTATCGAGGCACTCTTTGGTAAGTAGCTATGGACCGAGAGCTTGGCGCCCTTGATGATCTCAAACGCATTATTTCCAGGTATCTGGCTCCCGAACTCCGTCATGGTTCGAGTCTCAAAAGCGTAGAATTTCTGCGATGCGACGTCTGGGCCCTTGGCCTTTTATGCTTGGAGGTTGTCTGGGACGGTGCTAGATACTACCATCTACCATCGATAACCTCTCTGAACGCTTGGCCCCAGGTAACTGAAGCAGAAACGAAGTCATCTCATGAGTGGGACCGTTCCTTCAGCTTGTGCTCTTCGCTCTCTGAAGCAGCAGAAAGGTCGATGGACGATATTCCCTCGCGTCATGAGTTCCGTCCTTTGCAAAAGACAATAATTAAAGGTATACTGAGGCAGACTCTAGAGGCAGACTCTTCAAAGAGACAACACGATCTCTCAAAACTTCCATTCATATTTGGCGGGGGACTTCACCTATCGTAAGGATTGCTCGACTCCTACCTTTACTGAGGTCGGTTACTAATAGATGGTAGATGGAACGAGATGGGAAACATCGAGGATTCGCTCCAAGCGATGCCCAACCTACCAGAAGGGGGTTGGTCTTACGAGGTATATACTGCATGGTAGCTTCACGCCCTGCCGTACGGAACATTCTGACGAATCTAGAACTTCCTCCCAAAGGTGGCCAGTCGTATACCTTTTCGTCTGAAGGAACAAATGGTACTAGACGCCAAACGAACTGCTCTCACGGAATGCGACGTTTCGACTAGAGCTGCGTTCCAAGTTGCTCTAGCCTTCTTCAACGGATTCGGAATCGATCGTGACATGTCCATCGCTATGCAATACATGAGAATGAGCAGCTCATCAACCTGTCTTCCGTTCGAGATTCATCGCATGGTTCTGCAAGACCGATACCATAATACCGACAAGCTACGGACGACTGTGCAAGGCTACAACCCTCTTTGCTCCATCTTCACGAAACTGGGCGTCTGGGCTTCTCCAACACTTCATACTGGCTCGTCGTGTCACTTCCTGTCCCCATATGGCCTCAACAAACTCAAAGGTCATTCGCCACAGACAAGTCGCATTTCTTGGTTGCAGAGTACTGTCAGCGCTTATTGCAATCAGTCTCTTTTTCTTCAAGATCATGACATCAACAACTGTCTCATTTTAGCTTGTCAACTTGGTGACCTGGAAGCGCTCATATCCTTGGCCCCACGTAAGGAGAAACTTCTGCCACGCAAACATACTGGCCCTACTCCTCTTCACTATCTCTTCATGTTCGATCAAGATGAAGAGACATTACAACGCGCAATGGAAATCTTGCTACCGACACATCTTGACTCTCGAAGTCTATTACTTGAATCCTACTGCTCCGAAACCCAGACTCTCGATCAACAGCTACCATTCTCCCTAAGGGGTACTCCTCTGGCCTTTGCTGTTGACGCCGGTTCACTAGCAGCTGTGAAAGCACTACTAGGGGTTGGGGCGAACCCCCTTTCTCGCAGCCCAGAGAGTGAGACATCTCCAGATGTTAGTTCTCAAAGTTCACTACGGAAGGCCATATCTTATCATAGAGCAGATATCTTCTTGCTTCTATGGCAGTCATGTATGAATAACCCAGACTGGTATAATGAGCTCCTTAACGGGGTATTGACGGGTGAAACATGTCTTTTCTCACAACTGTGTGAGAGGTCTTTCTATGAACTATGGGTCATAGGGAATGGCAATCACCAGATAAGGGGGTCAGAGATGGTTTCGACTTTGACGGGAGCCATTTGGAACCTTCTGACTTCCAATCCGGAATACCAAAAGTCGTCATTTGCGCGATACTCTGCTGCTGGAATGAGAGCCATCCTCATCCAGGACGGACTGGAGATTGCCAAAGACTTACACCGCTCTATCAATGACATTAGCCGTTCATCTATACCTTCTTTTCTAGGGGAAGAGCAACAGAAAGCCCTATTACAATCACTACTTGAAATGGCTTGCAAAGGGAATATTACGCCAAACCGCGCGATCAAGTATATTGACTTTGGCGAAGTCTTATTTTCAGCCATTTCACCAGCCATGGGCTTTCAAGCTCTGCTTTCTGCGGTTCGCCATCATAACGACAGCCTCTTTGCTCTACTACTCCCTAGCAGTCAACATCTACACCAGGTTGATGAGGATGGCAGGAGTATTATATGGCACATGATTGACTCAGGCTTCTCGCACATGATTCCCCTATCAAAGGTCTTCGAGCAGGGTCTCAAACTTGATGATGTCGACGGCTTCGGTGAATCATATTTGCATTGCGCAGTGCGCAACAGATCCGTTGACGACACTGTCACACTAATCAATATGGGATTAGATGTCGATAGGAAACTTCTTGACGGCACCACAGCAATGCACATCGCCGTGCAAAATACTGATACGGCCATGATTCAATGCTTGCTGGACCACGGTGCCTCTATCAATGCAGCTGATAATCAACAACGATCACCCATTCATAGTCTGTTCTTGCAGACTCCGCAACATGAGTTAGCATCTGCGATTGCAGTCGCTAAGCTATTGCTGTCACGTGGTGCCTCAACAACGACAATGGATAGCGACGGTTCCACGCCCGTTCATGCTCTCGCACTGTGGGATGTCAGTACGGTCTGCTCACCAGGATTTGCTTCCCTCATACGCCGAATGAGCTTATCAGCTCGTGACAAACTTGGCGCGACAATATTACATTCTGCTGCGCGTCTCTTCAAGGATAAGCTAGTCGCGATACTTATTCAGTCAGGGGCAAAGGTTGATGATCAAGACAACAAGGGTGCCACTCCTCTACACGCTCTTATATCTCAGATGTGTCTCATGAGGTTCACATCCAATGACCAAATCATTCCCACTACCAAAGCATTGCTTCAAGCCGGACCAAGAATGGATCTGGTGGACAAGTATAACCGCACAGCTATTGGCTCTATGATCCTAGCTTGCAAGAACCAAAATACCATTCAAGTAACCCTAAGAGATACTGGTGTTCAGTTTGAACAACGCCTTTCTTTAGTGAAATGCATTCTGCTTCATTGCTACATGGCCTCACCGGTGTATCCCTCATTGGTTCATCCAATCTCACATGCTTGGGAAGTGGCAGTGCTCAACATGCGTTGGTCTGTTGTCCGAGAAATGCTCTTTCATGGCAAGGTAGATCTCGGCCTTCTAGCGTGGCCTAGAGGGATGAAGTTTCTACTATATTCCATTGAACACGCTGATCTTTGCATATTACGCTTATTTCTGGGCAGAGGATTTGAGCACTGGTCACCGCATATTCTGGCTGGAGATGTCACACAGCGCTCGGACCCCAGTTCAGAAATTTCCAAGGCTAATATGAATTGGTCACCTGAAAAGCATATCTTATGGGAGAGTCAAATACCAAGATACGGAGTTCATTCTAAGCGTGGTAATGGGGACATACTGCGAGAGATCCTGGAATTCCTTGTCGAGAATAAAGATTTGTACAAGATGGGGTCATTAAACGGCGAATCAACTTTCGGCAGACCTGTGTCGTGGATTCTCGTCGATCAGTTGGCCACTGCATGTCAATTGGGCAGACGCTAACTAGTTCAGTTGCAGGTTGCAAGTCCCATTTGTAATAAGTCGTGTCGAAATTGTTTTGAGTGCAGTGACAGCATTAAAGTGATGACCGTATCAGACGACTGCATTACAGAGAACAATTTACATACTAGCATGCTCATTGAAATTCGGGTCATTATGGCAGCCTCCGTCCAGACTTCTGATATCCAAGACGATGGCATATTTTGATTTTAGAGCCACTGTTTATTTCCATAGTGCGAAACGAAGGAACCTCCATTACCAGCCTCAATGCTGGCCTTGTTTATGACAGAAAGAACTGCAGTGGCAGACTCTTCGGGAGAAATGGCACCCTCCCAGTGAGGGGCGTATCCTTTGAAAGCCGCCACCATATCACGAACTCCCTGAATCTGCTCTTCGGTGTCTTTTTCTTCTCAGCATATGATGCAACGGAGCTGGGGGGTCATATACATACAGTTGGACGTGTCCTGGGTAGCAACCAGGCCCGGAGAGATGGCCATGAAGAGGATACCCTCCTTCCTATACTGGGCATCGAACTTGGCAACGGCAATGTTGAGTGCTCCCTTACTGATGGTGTAAGGGGCCCCATCAGCGATTGAGAAATCGGTAATGAAGTCCGGGTCAGCCATGCCTGACGAGATGGCGATAATCTTCTTGGCTTGGCCTTTACGGATAAGCGGCAGGGCTAGGTTGAATAGGTGGATGTTTCCAAGAGTATTGATCTTGAAGGACTCGAGCATATCTTCTTCAAGTCTCTCGGGTTCCTCGCCACTGAGCTGTAAGCGACTGGGCGAAACAAGGGTTAGAATGAACTTACAGAACGCCGATGGGGTTATGGGCAGACCATTCGGATTGAAGAGCGGCATTGGCGATAATATAGTCGAGGCTACCGCCTGTGATCTTGGCCACCTCTTTGACCAAGTTCTACTCCTGTGGTCAGCGTGAAATTTGTGAAGAGGCAAACTGGTTACATACCTTTACCGACTCAAGGTTTTGGATCTCGCCTTGGATGGTATGAATGTTGGATCGTCCTGACAGTTCGCGCTGAATCTTCTCTTCAGTAGCCTTTTTGTTGCGAGCGAACCCAATGACAGTGTTGCTCGAGTCGGCCGACAATTGACGAACGAACTCGAACTATGTGATATTAGTATCGTTGTCGCAAAAACGAGTCGGGGGGACTTACACCGAGGCCTCGGGATGTTCCGGTGATAAGATAAGATGGCATTGTGGTGATGGTTTTGCGTTTCAGCTGCTTAAAGGAAGTATTCTTTGATGATATATATTTTGTCTGATAGAGAATTGAAAATTTATGATGCGATTTAAGCCCTTATATATATCATTCGCAAGACACAGTTTCGATCATGAAAGTCTTAGTGCTTTGTAATTCGGATTGACCCTGCCCGCGATACGGCTCTTGGTCAGCGAGCTAGTGGAGGTTAATAGTGGGGTCCTCGCAAAAAGTTGCCCTGCACCAAAGACCTACCATAAGCCACATTCGTCGACGTCGCATTATCGTGCGCTTCGCAGGTATATTCAGCGGAAAAGGCAGCCAAAAACTCATTTTAAATATTTTGAGGATTGCTCTGACTATGTGGCTCTTTGAGGAGATTCCTAATTCTATCATCGCATCAGGTTCACGAGGATCAATACAGCTGGGTGTTTTTGAGACGGCAGATAAACCCTGATGGTCGTTACTTTTATACAACAATTAAATGTATAATTAAGATGACGAAAGGGTATTCACAAGTTTATATATGTAACTAGACATCTGGTACTGTCCTGTCTGTCGTTTCCTTCCACTATATAAACGCTGGTACCGACTTGTGAGTCGAGCTCAGAATAACACCCAACTTCCTAACATAATTCATCTCCTCAGTATACAAGTCCTTTTGCACCCAAACTGTTTCGATGACTTTCTTAACAGTTGCGATATTTCTGTACTGCATATTCTCACTCGTCCTGTCCATAACATCCAGAATGATCATTCTTTGCTTGTCGCTTTCTGCCTCGCAGCCAAAGATGAGTAAAGGAAATGGCCATTGGCAGGCAGGCAGTCGTTCAAGCAACTCAAATGCTTGTCCGACCCACGTTGTGAACTTTTGATCTAGTGGAAGAATCCCTGCAGATGCTCGTCTGAGATAGATCAAGGTAGATAGGCGGTACAGCTCAACCACTAGATCGAATGCTGGATGCGCTGTATCAGCAGAAGCGTTGTTGTCCGGCGCTTTCTTTTCAAGATTGCGGAGTTTCCAATCTAGTGTTTCAAGATGGCTTCTATGAGCCTTCGTTTCGTAGCGCGGGTCGGAGGGCACTGTCGCGGCGTTGAAAGCTTCAGAAAGGAGATACAATATCTCATGCGGCGCTCCTGTAAGGCTTTCGGGCTTCAAGAAATATTATGTTAGCTAGCTCTGCTGAGTAGTAGACAGTAAATACCTGTCCGTTGCCGCATACAACTGGGTGAAACGAATCAGCAGCGTCATCGGGATCAAACGTGACATGTGGCTGCCAGTGGCGCAAGCTGAACCGAGATAAAGTATTATAATAGTGCACCCAGCCTACAAGAGCAGCTGTATCGTGGTCGAGGTTATCCACATCCAGCCCAGCTGTCTTGACGATCTTGGCAGCGCCACAAGCGTACCATAGCCAATGGCTCGACTTCATCGAGTTTTGCTGTATCTAATGCCGGAGTTAGTGCGACACTTCTTCAAGGGTACGGCCCGTACCTCTAGCGTGCTTAGTATCATGCCAGCTGCTATGTGGCAGGCTGAATCGATAACACTGATGCGGCCTTGTGTTGACTCTGATAGTTTCCGTAGAGCGGCTACTTTATACTGGGCGGTTGTCTGAGGTGAGTTGGCGCGATGGAAGGAAGCGAGTGCTAGAGCTGATTTGAGGACTGCTGTAGATGAAGGTGAAAAGTCCGAGAGGGCTATCTGGATCAACAGTTCCCGAACCCTTGGAGCATCATGTCCAAAAGACGTGATGGAGTGTGAAGCTGTCTGTATGACTGGCTGAAGTAAGTGGAAGCTATTCGCAAGGTGCATGCTAGTATGCAGTGGACGGTAAAACTTACAATACTGAAAGTATCTCTGATCGGCTGGTATGAGTCTAGCTATGGGTCCCACTGCCGGACCTTTGATCAATGAGAGTGGCCCTGATGCCTCAAGAGAACTAGCATCGGAAGACCCAAAGGATACTTCAGGCAGCCCCAGCATGTGTACTCCATAGGTTTTTTCCGACATAGATACTACACCGTGCAGCCTAATATCTGTGAAGGTAGTGTTCACCAATCGATGGTCAGACTGTTTACACTTGATGCGCGGTCTGGGGCCAACTATAGCCCGCCGGGTATCATTCCGACGCGGCCAAGACAGCTGCATGCCGTAGCCCTTGCAGTGGCGCCCTGCTTTGATGCATCGATTGCATTTCGGATAAGTTTGGTCGCAACGCACTTTACGCGCTATCACGTCTGTTAGTAGCGTTAAGTACAGCGGACCAGATAGGGCGAACCTCGACAGGTTCCGCATCCCAGGGATGGCATTTCGATGGCGCAGAGATATGACACAATGTTACTCGCAAAAACTTCCCACTCTTGATCCTTCTTGGATATCTCGGTGGCATGAGGGAAATAATATGAGTATCTCCGCCATGGAATGATGCATCCCCCCGATTACCAACATCAGGTAAGCAGCCACAGACAGGATAAGCTCGGTAATATGCCGGCTATATCCAATCTTTCGTTGGAGCAACTTTTTGCGAGATGATTATAATTGTGGGGAGATTGAGACTAAGCTGTTATTCCAACTAGCGCATATCTATCTTTAGAACAGATTCTGGACACCATGGCTAAGCCGTAGGGTAAGTCCAGTGTTTTGCGAACATTTATTACTTCGTTGCAGTCATACTGACATTAACCTTGTACGTAGAGTCAAATAGTCACTTACTTGCATATTGAGGACTAGTTGTACTTAAAGAGACTGGTTAATGCAAAAAGCGTCTGGCGACAATCAGCATCAACGCCCACAACCAAAAGGACAAACTTTTTCTGCACGAAGATGTTATCTACCAAAAGACATTTTCCCTCAATTATCACAACTAAATCTAAATTTTTCGTTTCTTATCCCGATTACCACCTCGCTCTGTTTATATAGCCGCATATTTGTCTCACAAGTCCAAACAGTACATTGGGTGATTTATCCCTAGGAAACTTATGAACGCTAGGATAAGTGAGATGATTGATAACTGATAACCGACAATCGATAGAAGATAAGATAAGCACCACCTTATCTCGGCGTCTTGGTGGAGCAGCTGAGTTCAAAACGCCGGTCGGTTAAGACCAATCAACCAATAAATCTTGCTGGAGGGCACTAACAATATTGTGATTGGTACACTGCCCTTGTCCAAGGTGTCAAGAGAAAGGCGGAATGATTATCAATGAAGGACTGTCTTGCATCAAAAAGAGTGTATCTGCACAGCAAAACCGTGTTCTCTTCATACATCATTCTGCACCCTTCATCTCGATGCTTTCGCAATGATTGATTACTGATGCGGCGATATTTCCTCACCTTTCCAGGCCACATTGACAATGAGTCGATTGCCCAGACCCAGCGCTTGGTGGCCCCGGCACGATGTAATAAGTTGCCCGACTGCTTCGCAACGATGGTGTTGCGAACGCATCTGCCTTGACCACTGACAAATACTGCCACCACGATCGCGATCCCCTCAATCTCAAAAACCATGGCAGGCGTACATAATGACGTCGCGAAAATAATCACAAAATCGCTCGGCTGAAGCAAAAACGGCCAAATTGCATAACTTTCAGCAGTTTTTGTTCACTAATCACCTGGGGATGCCGCTTAGCTGAGCGTGGCAGGGCTTAGCGCGATGCTCAACCGCCGCAATGGCCGCAGCTTTCGCCGCACACCACTGAAGTCGGTTTGGATGCCTTTATAAGTTAATATTGACTTGTCAGCAAGCAAGATACGAAAACTCGCTTTGGGATCATG